TCGAAAATTAGCGATTTTTAAATTTGTAATTTTTTTGGAGGTTTCCCCCATTTACGGGGAACGAGGGAATTTTTTTCAATTTTTAAGGGTAATGTCTTCGACTAGATACGATTTGTGATCTTTTGACGTATCATTGAAAGAAATCGGTTCGGTGAGAGCTGAGAAAAAGTGGTAACAGACAAAAAAAAAAAAAAAAAAACACATCTTAGTAAAACCAATACCTTCTCAGCTTCGCATCGAAGCTAAAATATATTAAAAGAACCACAAAGGTTGCAGCGCACACAACTAAATCTACTGCTATGGACGGGAAATAGTACGACCAGTTACCGGCGGACCAGACCCGGCGGTTTGTTGGCAACAAATTCCGGAAATTATTAAGAACAATTCGAATCATAAGGCAACAATGTATGTGTTGAGCAGTGCAAATAATGTTCAAGATAGGAAAGGAGTGTTGTGAATGTACACAAAAAAGTCTAATTTCAGATTTGAAAACTGTTAAAAAAGATAATTTAGAAAAATATATTTTTGATTGCGATAAATGTTCCTTGTAGACCAATTTATTTATTCATATATAAAAAAAAAATTTAGCTTCGTCGCGAAGCTGAGAAGGTATTAATTTTACCATGATGTGTTTATTATTTTTTTTTTTTTGTGTCTGTCACTACTTTTTCTCAGCTCTGACTGGACCGATTTCTTTCAAAAATACGTCAAAAGATCACAAATTGTATCTAGTTGAAGACATTACCCATAAAAATTGAAACATTTTCCCTCGTTCCCCTCAAATAGGGGAAATATCCAATAAAATTACAAATTTAAAAATCGGTAAATTTTGTTATTTTTTCACTTTTTTTTTCTTAAAACATCCATAACTTTTTAAAAAATAAACAAATCAGCATAATTTTTTTTGTACAAAAGGACATGACATCCAATTCGATAAAGTAAAAATACTAATCAAAGAAACTCATTTTGGCAAACGAATGTACAAAGAGGCAATAGAAATCGAAAAATGTCCAGAGAATTTCAACAGAGAAAACAGATGGAAAATAAGCAAAACTTGGTTACCCATCATACACCCCAGTCAAAAAGAAAATCAACTCACAACACTGAAAATAGTTCTATACAAGAAAAAGTATCAACGTAATGGAAAACTGTCGGTGCAGAAAAGGAAGACCAAAATGCTAAGAATGTTAAAAACAAAAACAATAATTAAAAATAAAGTCGCCAATAAAAACATCAGCAAAAACAAGATACCGTAAACAACATAAGTCATTAACAGATATAAACAACCGATACAGTAAACAACTGATATGATAAACAACCAACATATAAAAACAGACTGATAACAAGATAAGCCGCCAGTATAGTTTTAGCCAGCGAGCAGTAACTATCGCTCCGAAGATAGACTCTGCAATGAGTGCGAAACGTCAGCAATCATGGATAAATCCTCAAGCTTTTCAAATAATGATTAAAACATGTCATGGTTTTTCAGACTATATTTGAAAAACGAAGATTAGATATTTATTCTATTTATATATTAAAAAATAGGAATACCATTTGAAAATGGAAAGCCATTTAATTAATATAAAGCATAAATGATGATCGTAAAAATTTAATTTTACTCACTGAACTGCCCAACATAAAAACATATATTACATTGAAAAAAAAATTTAACACTTTATATTTTCAGAGATAATTGGGAGGCATTATTAATCAGAACCATGTGTACAAAAAAACAAAGAGGAATGTTTTTGTCATGTTACAAATTTAAAAATTTCCTAAATATCTGACGCCTTTAGACACATTAAAAAATAAAACGCTTTCATTATATATTTTATATTAAACAAATAAATCAGAACACACATAAATGTGATTATGTTTAAATCTTATACAAATCTACAAAATTGCTATTGATTTATTATAAATCAAAAATAATAAAATTAAATTAAAAAAAAAATATTGTATTAATCTACAGTTATACAAAGTTATAGTAACTAGAAGCATCAATGGTAAATAATCAAATTTACTTAATTTTAATACATTAATAATACTAGTAACCAGGGCCGGATTTACCCTAAAAGCGCCCCTAGGCTAATAAGGAACAAACGTCCAATTCTTAGAACACAGATAGAATGAGAGCTGCACTCATTCTATCTGTGTAATCACCCCCTCCTAATTTACTTAAAAATTTGTATTTTCTAATGTATAATGTATAGTTACTTTAAAAGTATTTAAAAGTCAACGTAAAAAAATTATGTAATAAAATTTCGTAGTTTAAATTATGATGATATAAAAAATCAATCGTGTATAAATTATAATTAATGAATAATAATAATAAATAATAATTATATTTTTATTCTGTAGATAAACGGTTAATTTAGTAAATACAACTGTCAACTTATTAATGTAAACAACAAAATTGTGCACCATTATAAAAAATAAGAAACATTAATTAATAATACGTTTGGCGTTTCCATGATTTGGTTGTTCGACACAATTTATACAACTGCCGTCGCCAATTATTATTTTAAATAATGTTACCGTCGTACCGTAGCTACCCTGCCCAATTACATTATATATATTGTAGAATATATTCCGTGCTACTTTTATAATTTTACAACATCGAGCAACTAATTTACCAAAATAACTACATTAATTCTAGTAGATGGAAAATTAAATTCGCAGAAAAGAATTATATCTAAAAAAAAATCAAGAGTTTTGCTGGCCGCAGTGCCCCTAAGCTATAGCCTAGTTAGTCTAGTTCTAAATCCAGCCCTGCTAATAACATTAATAATAATAGTTCGCTGAAAATTTTGAAATCAAAATACTATTACTGTTTAAAATTAATGAAGACCATAACCGTAATAAATTAAATTAAATATTAAATATATTATACCTAGAAAAAATTGCGGATAATTTTTTAAAAATTAATTATGTATTATAGATACATATTATGATAATTTTAAATAGTTTTAATTTTCCAAATTCACAGTTGATGTATCTAATTTTGTATAAGTATTTTTAAGGTACATTGTATTAAAATATTCAATGGAATTTAAAGCTTGTTTAGTTTAGAAAAAATAAACTATGAGTAATAAAAGGTGTTATTATAGAAAAAAAAAAAATATATTAAAACTTAGAAAGATGAAATAGTACTTAATATTAATTTTATTTTATTTGTATTTATAAAGAATAACATAAAGGTATTTTGTGGTTTCGTTTGTTAATTTTAAATAAAATCTATTCAATAGAACGAAGTTTAAGTAATAATGTTTAAAAACATTTTGCTGTGTATATATTTTTTAGCTTCAATAATTACAATCAAAGTATATGGTAAAATAAAAGATGAAGGTGAGCTTATGTTATTTTATATTACATTTAAAAAAGATGATCTCTAAAAAATATATATTTTAATAATATATATAGTATTATAATTTTATTTATTAATATATCAATTTTTATTTCTAATTAAAAGAGAAACAATAAATGTAATGCATGCAACATACCCATGGTTATGATTAATTCAATCTTATACATATAAAAGTTTACTAACAAAAATATCTTCAAGAAATCAATTTGAAAGATTCAACTACACTTTCCTCCAATCTAAGTCCAGTTTTTTTTTAATGCAAAGCTATTGTATTTATATCAAAGATATGTCGTAACTCAAAAAGGATATACTATTATGAAAAGGATGTTATAGGAGTATCGCAAAATAAGAACTATCCCTTTTCTCGTGGTGTGTTGTTCGAGGGTCACTTGCTATCTTAAGTGCGTGCACGTTAAATTAGAATGTTCTTACCTTAATCATATAATCCTCATTGATACAATAATTTACTTGTGGAACAATAAAGAATGCATGAATTAGAATAACTAATTTGTATATAATATCTTCGACTATTTTATTGTTAAAAACACATGAATCAGTAATAGTAAAAGAAAAGAAACAAAATCAAAAATATAAAACTGGTTTAAAAGGCGAAAGAGAGCCGGACGATAATCGCGACGTGTTCGTATGTCGGTTATATCGAAACAGGACGAGAACTATGTGCCCTATTCTTAATGCATTCCCCGGATCCCCTTCNAGGGATATTCTTAATGCATTCCCCGGATCCCCTTCCACAGATGTGTATGATTATCGTCCAGCTCTTATTGGGTTTTACATTTTTGTGATACGTTATTGATCAGGGTTTTTGTAAGTGTTGTGAAGGAGCGGGGATGTTTGTGGCTTGATCGTGGGAGTAGTGTGTTTAGTTGTTTTAGAGGATAGACGGTGTTTATTGTTTTTTTATATATATTGTGTGAAAGGATATTGTGTTGTAAGAGAATTTCTGTATGTGTTTAGAAATGAATAAGAAGAAAACAGAAAACTAAATTGTTTATGTGTGGAGGGCCTATTACAACAGATACAAATATTTTTAAACGATGGATTACTTCATTTTAATCATGAAATTATTTTACTTGATTTTAGTACAATTTTCTTTGTTTGAATGTGTTATGTCGTTGAAAAATCAACAAATCGTTTTCATTTCAACTATTGATATCATTTAACAATCTTATATATAAGAATCAATACATAGTTTTAGCCTATTTTATGCGGACCCAGGCATTTCGCCGCGACCGCTTTGTTCTTGACTAATAATATTCATTATTAACAATTAATGCTATTGAAATAAAGCATACGCTTATTTATAAAATTTAGAAAATAAAAATGTGGTATAATAATTAATTATAAATGTTTATAGAATATTCTTTTTAACAAGATACACTCAATTATTTATAAAATAAAAATAATTCAATCATTTTTTTTTTTTTGATTATCATTAGTTACATATTATTCTTGAATTATGAAATATGTTGGAGTATTAAATTAAATAGTAAATTGTATTTTAATTTTTAATAATACTTAATTTGTATATTTGTTATAAAACATTAATGTTTCAAATTTTTAAATTAATATACATGTATTATATACGATGATATATAAATACAGATAGCAAATTGTATTTTTATGGCTTCGCTATCACAGTTATTAAGTGTTTATTGTCAATTATGACTATATATCAATAGATGCTTTCTGTATTGTCAGATGGTGTATATATAAACTCAAAACAATGTGCCATACTATCATTGATAATAAATTCTGCGTATCTGTCAATATTGACGTCATTAAAAACCAGCTAGCTACCTGTATTTGTGATCCTTTTTGTAATATACATGTATATTAATTTAAAAAACCCATCACAGGGGGTCGCGGCACAGTGGTGACATAAGATAGTTGGATCAAGTATAATGATATCTGACAGTGATTAAAATAACTATAAAAAAAAAACGCTTCGATGCAAATCTTTAGCTAGTATATAATTTTAAAAAATTGGTGGATTTTTCCAAAAGCTACATGATTTGCTAGTTCCTCATTATTATCCTGATTAAGATAAAGTATGTCGAATGAAAAAGGGATTATTAAAAAATATTATTTCTCATAAAAAAATTCTGTTTATCCATACACTTTTCAAAAAGATATAGCATTATAAAGTTAAAAATTTTCACCGTGAAGACAAAATCAATTCCGAATTTTTTTTTTCCATAATAAAGTATATTATATTAGCTTTAATTTAAGATTTATATAAAAGTGTCTTACTTTCCGGTACATTTTCAAAATTCAAGTTGAAAAAATTAATTTTTTGTGAAAAATTGGTCATTTTAAATCCCACCCTGTGGGCAGCTAAAGGGTCATATGTAAAAAAAAATATACCAAATAATAAGTAATGATATCATACATCTAATAAAAAAAAATTTATATTGATTCGGTTATTTTTAAAAAAGTTATAGCAATTTTAAGTAAAAAAAATTTGCTTTAAAAATTAGTGATTTTTAATTTTGTAATTTTTTTGGAAGTTTCCCCCATTTACGGAGAACGGGGGAATTTTTTTCAATTTTTGAGCGTAATGTCTTCGATTAGATACGATTTGTGATCTTTTGACGTATCATTGAAAGAAATCGTGAAAAGGTGAAAGCTGAGAAAAAGTGGTAACAGACACAAAAAATCACATCATAGTAAAATCAATACCTTCACAGCTTCGCATCGAAGCTAAAAATTAAAACACTAAAGTTTTATACCTAATAAAAGAATAAAATTATATTAAAAATTCAAATAAAATTTACTATTTAATTAAAAATTCAAGCATTTTATTAAATTTAAAATCGTTGTTCCCATTTAAAAAAACAAAGTTGACACCCTTAAAAAGAATAAGGGATGAATATAAAAAAATTATATAGCTAATTATTCAAAAGTAATATGTAACTAAGGTAATCGAAAAAATAATGTTTAAATTAAATTTATTCTGTAAGTAATTGAGTGTGTTATGATGAATAAAATTACTCTTTATACATAGTACCAAATATAATAAATTAGCAAACTCAGTTTTTACTAATTTCGTACATTTTTAATGATCAAGATATAAAGTATTCAAAAATATTGTGTCCTCTTGGTCAGCTAATTTTATAGTTTTTGAAATTAAACAAATTAAAATAATTTTTTTTTAAAATTGTCTTTTTATAATGAAACTTCTCAAACAATTTAAATCATAATATAATGCAATAAGATATATAGTTAATAATTAAGTTTTTAAACGGTTAATTAAAGCAAATTTGTTTCAAAGATATGTGTTTTTGTATGTTTAGTTTTAAAAGAAATGTTACAACAACGAGAAGTTCCTCTTCCGCCAATAGAAATAACGGATATTGTAAAATCTTTAAAAGTCATGAACTATATAGTTGGAGATGTAATTGATGATGTAATAAATTTTTTTATTGTGAAAAGCCAAAAACAAGACACTATTTTATATATTTCGACATATATTTATAGTTCTATATGTGGAAATAACTATTTACCTTTAATCGATCACATACATAATACAATCACTTCAAAAGAAACTCTCATTTTAGTTAATGTAAACGTTTTTTCAGCTCATTGGATTTTGGGAGTAATTAATTTGAAAAAAAAAAAAATTATTATTTTAGATTCAAAAAAATCATCAATTCCTTTAAAGCAGTTTGAACATTTACATTTTATAATGTGTGCATACTTAAATGTAAAAACATTTAATGCTAAATCAAAGCTCAAACCAATTGAGAGTAAATGCAAGTTTATTTTTGACGAGAATGCTGTACAGCAAAGGAATCCATTTGATTGTGGTATATTTGTATGCATACATGCATTTCATTATATAACCGATTTTCCTACATTTTTTAAAGGGACAATATGGGGTAGACAATGGCTTTTTTATTGTTATACGGAATATGAAAAATTTAAAAATACCAGCGCTTATAAAGATTTTCTACCCAATCATAAATCATTAAATGAAGATGTTATTAAAAATATTATTGATAAAACTAAGCAAGAGAAAATAGAGGTTAAAAGTGACCAAGTTATAAAAAAAAATATAAAATAAAATAAGATAAAAAAAATAAATATATTGTTGTTTTAAAATGCTTGTTATTATATAATAACGAAATTATAATACCTAATAATCTATAGACAAAAAGTGTTGCATCAAGCCTATTATTTTATATTAGCATAATTATTTTATAATTTTTTATAATTTCTCTATAAAATATACAATATTGAATTATAGATTATTTGTTTCATACTTAATTTAATTAAAATAGCAAGTCCTTATTCAAATATTATACTTATATAACTAATCACGATTGGCACGACTTTCGTCGCAATAATATAGTCGACACTGTTTTTGATGGTAGAGCCCGTGGGCCGTTTACGAATAGGCAAAAACTGGTTATGAAAAAAAAACAAACCGAAAAGACCAATAAAAATCAATAATAATCTTCGCATAATATCGCGGAACTTTGATAGCGTTAGCGACGCGGTGTCCGACATGGTCTTCGAGCGTCAGACGGTTGGCAGCATTGATGGTGTCGGTACGCGAGTGCAGATCTGATCGTCGAGTCCTGTCGTGCGACACGTCCAGAACCGGTGGCGTATATCCTGGACGTGGTCACTTTAATGACGGGAAATGACACAATGCATCATTTGTACCGTGGCGTATGGCACGCAACGTTGTCACTCTAAACTGTCAATACTCTTAGTCGTGCGAGTGCTGAAAACGTGGCTCGGTGTATCACGAAGCGATGCGGGACCGTATCAAATACCCCCATCGATGGAACGGCCTATTTAATTATTGGTGGGCTGTTAACCGCGGAGCGCAGTTGGAATATGAGTTATGTACAGTTATTTAAACCGCGTAACGCAGTGAAGGCCGCAAAACTTACTTTAGGTGTTTTAGGGGGCGAGTGCGTGTATTTCGATTCCATGGGTTCCTCCACTGGTCAATGTTACACTGCTATTGATTTGGATGTTGGTTCGATTTTCCTTGTGCGATGGGAAAGGTGGTGGTGTCAGCCTCTATTCTCGGGCTGGCACTAGTAAAGTGGGCGAGCAATCGGTCCGCGCTTTGCGGTGGGGTGCTAGTATGATTTGTGTTCGATGAGCGTTGTGCGTCCAACCTTCTCATTCAAAAGAGCAGCGTAGTTTATAACTATCTCTGTTAATAATTCGCGTGTATGTAGGTCTCCTGCTACATGTAATTTTGACAGATCTACATTGAAGGGAGTGCGGGGACGCTAGCTTTCTAGCTCGCCGTAGTATGGTGTTTTGCGCCTAAATGAATTATACAAGCAGCATATTCCCAAGGAATTTCCTGTCAGAAAAACATGCCCTAGGAGTACGTCAGTGTACAAATAATTCAAGATCATTTTCGTAAATTGAATCGTCAGTGTTGCGATGTGTCGCAGGTGGGTGTTGTGTGGTCGTGTACTAGTCTAACCGCACGTATGGGTCGTTTGTGTACAATTCCGTATTATTATTATCCCTACTATTGTCGAGGTGGTATATGACATTTGCGCTTGTGAGTCAAGTAATGCCGTCACAAAGCCATTGATTTAATTCAAGTTCCACGACGAGAATTTTAATTCTACGTTAATGTTTCTCGAGATATGAGTACTAGGATTTCTAAGAAATTAAAAAAATTATAGAAAATATAGTGATTTTGTTATGAACGTAAGATTTATTGTGATCAGATGTCATACTTCTTAATATCAATAATTCTACGAGTATTGACGGTTACCAATAATAGCTGGGATTGAATCAATTCGTGTGTCTAACCAGACCATCTAACGTGGTGGCTATATATGAACCTCTAACTTAACTCCTGAAATAGACCAAATCAATGATTTAACTCTCACCAACTAAGCCCATAAAACCATTATTAATTAATTTTATTTACTTAATACATTTTAATTATTAGTAATCACTTCAATTCCTTTTGTCCTTACATAGGACAAACTATGTACTCCAAAAAACCTTGATTTTGAATCATATAGATATTTGGTGAAATTATTATTTTCCTACCTTGAAGTTTCAAGTAAATACTCTGAAATGAATACTCGGTCCTTTTTTTTAATAAACATTACAATATGGACACTGTGTATCACTTCTTGTATATATTGTCCATTATAGATACTTAAAAGATGAATTCAAAAATAAGTGTCAACTGTAAACATCTGCGTTAGGGAGATGCCGGTCTAGTGAGAGTTTTGCATTTTTTTCTTAATTATTTTTGAGGTAATTAAAAATTAAAAATTTGTTTGATTTTATCTCATTTATATTGAATAACTACAAATAATAACAAGGACACCACTGTAGTCTACCCTTATAGGTAGGAATTTCTTTTTCATATCAAAATAATTTTACTATGTGCTTTTGGTGTCTATCATTTATTTTTTTATACACTTATAAATCATTTTAAAAAAATGACTTTCGGTTGAATTTTTACAATTATAATCAATTTTTATAATACGCTCTACTTAGTAGATTTTTTTAGATTTTGTGCGGACCCACGTGGCAAAGATGAAAACACTCACATTTCATAAAATCGAATATATAATGAACAATTAATAATGCAATACAATATTAATCCTTAATATAAATACAAAGGAATAGGATAATGGAATAAAATAATGTAGAATAAAGTAGAATTATGATATGGAAAAATACAAGAGTTTATTTAGCGCATACTAAACCACGACTGGTCATATGGGACTTACACTGGGAGTCCTTCACCCAACATCGCCCTTAAACCCTTTAGTCATCACAATCATAGTCCGACGATAATCGTAGGACGATGCATTATATACTCTACGCAATTACAAAATAATACTCAGGTGTTCTTAACACCCTCCAACTTAAGTAAACAATG